GTTCGAATCGAAAAAAATTCGTTCGACACTAGGCTCGTTAGTAAACGAGCCAAGCTTGAGCTAGACCATGCTCGGCTTGATAAGCTCGTGAGCTAGCTTGACTCGGTGGCTTGTTGAGTTAAGCTCGCGAGCTAGCTTGTTTAGAGCTTGTGGAATGATTAATTACCCTTCTAAACATGGATATTATTTTGTTAATACGATTGTGTATGGAAATTAGTTGTTGTTTTTAGTTTCTAGTGTTTTTTTATCATTTAAATTCTTATGTTTAAACATTTTTCAGCAAGAATGATTTTAAATCGGGGCTTATCTTAAGCCGAGCTTGTACTCAACTTGACAAGCTCTGCTAATGGGCATTTATCAAGCTCTAACGAGTCGAGCTCGAGTAGATTATTTTTAGTCAAGCCAAGCTAAAGCTAAGCAAAAAATCGACTCGACTCGGCTCGTTTGCAACCCTAGGTGTGACCAGAAACTAGTTATCTCTCCGTTCCTAATGCTCCAGCAACATCCACTCTTCATCAGTGGCATTGCCTTGATGATGCCTTTCCAGAGAGATGAGTGGTTGCTCTTCTTCATGCCAACAAATGCTCCATCTTTCTGTTTAAAGTACTTGCCCTGCAAAACTTTAATCTAGAGCACATTTTCATTATTTAACATCTGCCATGCGAGCTCGATCGTAAAGGCTCTATTCATACCTCTGGCTGACCTCAACCCCAGTCCCCCCTTACTTTTGGGTTTACAGATTGTTTCCCAAGAGATCAGGTGAGACTTCCTAACACCATCCCGAGACCCCCAAATGAACCCTCGAATCTTACAATCGATTGCTTCACAAACGGTAGCAGGTAAGACCGAGGATTGCATAGCATAACTAGGTAGAGAATTCGACACAGAAGTAGCCAGGGTAACCCTCCCAGCAAGTGAAAGTGTTCTTGCTTTCCACATTGTGAGTTTGTTATCCATTTTTTCCAAGATATACTTATAAGTGTTGTTATTCAACCTACCATGCAAAACAGGAACACTTAGGTATCTACCAAGGTCGTTAATTGATTGAATTCCCAATTTCGCACATAAATCAGACCTGGTTTTATGATTCACATTCCTAGAGAAATAGACTCTGGACTTATCCTTACTAATCATCTCCCCAGAAGCCTGACAGAATCTGTCCATACAAGACATGACCACTTCAGCTTGCTTAGGACTAGCCTCAGCAAAAAGCACAAGGTCAACTGCAAAGAACATATGAGATAGATCAGGCCCTGTGGGAGAGAGCCTCATAGGTTTCCATTCCTTTTTCCTAACATCCTCAACAATAGTATGACACAATCTTTCCATACATAAAGTAAAGAGGTAGGGAGAGAGGGGACATCCCTGACGCAGTCCTCTTGATGGAGTAAAACTCTCAGTCCCCCCCCCCCACCATTCCAAAGAACTTGAAATCTTGTTGTAGTCACACATGCCATAATGATTCTGATGCACTCCACCATGATATGAGCTTCAACAAGAGTCTCCTCCAGGAAATCCCAGTTGATCCTATCATATGCCTTGGCCAAGTCCATTTTGAGGAGCATGGACCCTTTCTTTCTTGTCTTCCTGGCCATAGTGTGAACAGTTTCCTACAAGATAATGATATTGTTAGTTATGTGTCTCTTGGGAACAAAACTAGACTGTTTAGGGTGTATGAGGTGTGGCAAAAGTGGTTTAAGTTTGTTAGCTAAACTCTTAGCCACCACTTTGTACACCACATTACAGAGGCTTATAGGTCTAAACTGGCTCATGGTTTGGGGAGCTTCAGTTTTAGGAATTAAGGCCAGCAGAGTCTCATTGATAGTGCTTATCCTATAAGGGTTCCTAAAGCAGTAATGGACAAAGCAGATGAGATCCACTCCAATGTAGTCCCAACATTTTTGGTAGAAGATGGCGTAGAAACTATCTTTACCCATGGCTTTCAACCCATTCATCTCCATAATGATTGCTCTAATCTCCACCGGGTTGGGAATGGATTTTTTCCCTGTCATCAAAGCCTCTACAACCAAAGGAAAGTTAGCAGGCAGTGAGACAAGAATCAGAAGAGGATCCCTGGTGAAGAGGTTCATATAGAACTCTCTCGCCAAGGTTTGGATCAGTGACCCATTGCCCATCGTTTTCCTTGAGGCCAATGATTCGGTTATGTCTCCTTCTGTTGAGGGTATTAGTGTGGAAATAGCGTGAGTTCTGGTCTCCCTTCACCACCCATTTGCTCTAGAATTTTGTATCCAAAGCAGTTCCTCATTCCACAATGTCTTCTCAAGCTCTTCTCTTGTCTCTTGCTCTTTATTCAGGGAGCTAGTACAGGGGTTCCTCTCAAGTCTCAACCAGCATCTCCAAGTTTTTGAGCTCACGCATGAGGTCTTTCTTGTTCTTGAAGATATTGCGAAGACATCTTCATTCCACTTCTTAAGGTCAACTGAGAGGCCCTACAGGGAAAGAAGGAAAATCAATGCCTCTGGTCCACTTGGAGGAAATGAAAGGGAAGAAATTTTCAAGGGAAAACCAAGGGGCCAATATTTGGAATCTCCTCACCAGGGTTTTGTTACCAGTATCCAGCTCAGTGCAAGTCATGATTGGTCTATGGTCGGATCTCATCTTCGACAAGTGCAAATTGAAAGTTGATGGATAGCGTTGTTGCCACAGGGAGTTGCACATGATTCGATCAAGTCTTTCCCGAAGCGTTGAGTTTCTTGTGAACCACGTAAACTTAGGACCACGGAAGCCTAAGTCAACAAGGCCATAGTCGTCAATACATTCCTTAAAAGCTTTTACCTTAGTAGGATTGAAAGTAGCACCTCCTTGCTTCTCAGATGGTCGAGTGATGGAGCTAAAGTCTCCAAGGATCAACCACGGCACCTGTGCATCTTGCTCCATTTTTCTAATTTCCTCCCAAAGGACCTTTCTTTCATTCTCATTGGGGCTGGCATAGACCGCAGTAAGCAGAAAGATAACCCTTCCTCCTCCAACACATTTAAGATGGACAAATTGCTTATGCTTGTCGATCAACTCCAAGTTCATTTTCCCACTATCCCAAAGGACCTAGATTCCTCCACTAAAGCCAATAACATCAGAAACTTTCCATGAGTCATACCCCATGGTCCTGATCACTTCAACTGCATCTTTCCCACTAATTCTTGGCTCCAAGATACAAACCACATCAGGATGAACCATAGATTTATACTCCATAAATGTCGAGTGAAATTTGGGATGTCTAGCACCCCTATAGTTCCAGGAAAGTACTTTAACCATAAAAACTTTAATGATCCTTTCCCACGAACAATCACCAAAGATTTTCAGTTGTCGATGGCCATGGACATCTGCCTTCCTTCGGGTTTAACCCCTTGGGTGGTTCCCTCTGGTAAGGCTTCACTTTCTGGCACTTGGTCAATGTCCGAGCTCAAGTCAAAGTTGATCTTCTTCGACTGACCTTTCCCATTCTCCGGGGACATCACTTTGTTCTTGGCCTTCTCCTTGCTCTCAACAACCAAGGTCGTTTGCTTACCTCTAGGCTGGTGTCCTGCTCGAGCACCAGAAGCCTGCCCCCTTTCATTCCCAACTTTAAGCTTTTCCAATGTAGGAATTTTTTGCTTAATGATGGGTGATGATGGAGTGACTTTGCCGCTCTTCTGAGGAACAAGGTTACCACCACCCCTTGCTTCCTTCCCGTTTGCTGCGGTGATCTGATTAGCCTTTGGTTGTTTATCAACTCTTATGTTGTTCTGGCTCTTCCTGCCATGTTCAGTTTGTTTCTATCCCTTCTTTTCCCCCTCCAAACTTGCATCATTCCTCATTTCAATATTCCCATTCACCTCTTTCACTGTAGAATTTCCTGTGGTGTTCTTTGTGATATGCTTCTCAACTTTCATTGTTTCTTTCTTTTCCTCAATAAACTCCTTCTCTTATTGGGTGACTATGTGCTCATCAATATCCTCATCTTTGGTTTCAACTTCCCTGTCAGCATCATTCTCCAGTACGCTAAACCTTAACCCTGTCACCACAGCAATTAGTGTGTCTTCCTTTCCTTTGTTTGCCTTCCCTGCTTTCTGGACATTCTGTTGCTTTGGCTTCCTGCGATTTATGGTCGCGAGCATCCATGGCCCGAAGTCCTCAATAAGCTCTGACCGAATATCTTGTGTCTCTGTTTGGTTGTTGTTCTGTTTGGTTTTCTCCTCAGGTGACAGATTGTTATTAGCTTCACGATGTGGACAAGCCTCCTCAAAGTGTCCATAGTGGCCACACCCAAAGCAAACCATGTGCAAACCTTCATACTCAACCCTACGAACTCTTCTCTTGATCCTGTACTTCGGGATAAGCATCTTCCGTAAGTCAATCTCCACACAAATACGGGCATAGTTTCCCCTTGATCCGTTTGCAGTATTGTAGTCAATCTTTTCAACTCTCCCCAGCTTATCACCAATATCATAAAAAATCTCTTCATCAAAATAGGCAAGCGGAAGTCGAGGGAGCCTGACTCAAACCGAGGCATGGCTAATTGAGTTGAAGTCCGGATCAAAGTCAATTCTCCACAGCTCAGCTGCGATGTAGTGGTCTTCAATGGTCCAAGGACCCCCATACAAAGCACGATCGTGGTCGAGTTGAGAATCGAAAATCATCTGGAAATAGCCATTCCTAATATCCCCGATTTTGATCCCCCCAAGTTCTCGCTCACATTTTATGCGCTCTTATGTGAATGAAAGCAAAGGGAAAAGTCTTACCCAGAACCTGGAAGGCGATGGCTCTTTTCCATCGATTCCTGACTCTGGTATCCGTGCTTTTCTTGATTCTGATTGTAGGGTATTCACAGTCATCCTCAACATCCTCTCCTTTCGATTCTTCCGGCATGAGTTCATCTCCTTGAGGAATTTCAGCAGGAGGTTTATTCTCAAGAAATGAATCTTGTTAGGAAACCTTCCTCCTTCCTTCCCCATTGCTTGCTGTTGTCGAATCCGTGATTCGCCCTTCCGCTCTGACGTTGCTCATTTCCATTTCCATATGACACCCGGATGTTCTTCTTCTTTAGCCCTTGCTGTGACAATGGAGATTTCCATTCCACCTTCCCCTGAGAAGTCTCCATTCGAACTTGCTTTTGCCTTTTTGCTTGGCTGGATCGGCGTCAACGGCGGAGATCCGTCCGGCGGCTTCAAGTAGTGGTCGGCCTCCGCTGTGGGAGGCACACCCCCAACGATCATACAGAAAGAAGCAACGGGAAAGCGAGGAGAGAGGGGAGAGCTTTTCCTCTCTCTTATTTCTCTCTCTACTGCTCAAAATAGTTATTTGTTGTTGCTGCAACTCCTGACAACAAACTCAAGAGAAAGATGGTCATTGTGTGAGTTTTTTTTTTTTTTTGAAACCATTGTGTGAGCTTCTGATGCTTGCAACTGTCCATCGCATTGAATATCTGTCCTCTTTAGATTTCCAACCTTATTATCTATAGCAATAGCTCATTATGTGTTTGTTTTAATGATTTATGTTTGTAAAGAACTTATTTGTGGGGGAAATCTTAGTTGGTGAATTATCTACTTCGTTTCATGGTTGTTGTTTTTGTTTAGGGCAAATACAATTTATTAGTCAAATTTTTTAATTTTTTTTATATGTTTTAACAAGCTAAATCTTTTGCAATGCATTAAAATATTAGCTAATTGTTTGCTAGCGTTAGTAGTTTTTTAACTCTTTTCTTAGTTAAAATACTAAAATTTTGGAATGTTGACCACCACATGTTTTTTTTTAGTCAGTATCATGTTGTTAAGTCAATATTACTAACAAAATTGCAAACATAAAATTAACATTTATCTAATAATTTGTATTTTAAAAAATTTGATTAATAAATTTAAAAGTCATCTAAAACTAATAATTTGAAAAGCTTAAAAAATATGACAAATAAATAATATTTTCCCTTTTGTTTATGATCATAGAATTATCTACTCAAAGCAATGATCATAGGTTGTGCTCACAAAGGACGGGCTGTTGGGCCAAATCCATTGCTAGTCTCCATCCCCAAATTTGGGGATCATCCTCATTTTTTTTCTTTTTTATTCTAATGCTACATTCTCCAAATTTGGAGATCTTTCTTTTTAGTTAGTTTTTCTTTACTTAAAAACGTACTTATGACCATCTTAATACAATTTGTTCATGTTAATTTTTGTATAGTTCGTCATCATTTTTAAATACAAATTTTTTGGTGGATTTTTTTTTTATTTTGAGATCAAATTTTTTTTTGACAAAAAATGATTGATTTAATTTGAGTTTCCACACAACACTTAAAAATTATTGATCTAATTAAATTCCTAACTAATCTCCTAATTAAAATCCAATTAACCCCTAAAATCTTATAAAAAAACCACGTGGCGAGATTTGGGGAGTCTCTATATTTGGGGGAATACCCATTTCCACCCCCAAATTTGGCGTTTTTTTGCAGATCTCCCCCAAATATAGAACTCCATTGGAGCCAACTTTTTCTCAAATATACAGACTCTCCCATTTATAGAGGCTCTATTGGAGTTAGTCTTCAAAGGTTGGGGTAAAGGTCGGATCAGATCAAACAAGGGAGCAGTAAAGGGAGAGGGCTTTCTAAGTTTGCCTAATTTTATAGTCCCAACTTTACATTTTAGATTTGTGTTGTTGTTTTGTAGGATCAAAAGATTCATGGGTAAAACCAATGTTGTCAGAACCAAACCAGAGCATGACCCGTTAATGCGAACGGCTCCCACTGTAGTGGTCCAACCGGCATTAGACCGTTTAAAAACCGTTAGAGAAATGATACCTAATAAACGTTATCAGTATAAATAGTGGACATTTCTTAATCAGAGCTCATCTCTTTCCTTTGAAATTGTGAAATGGAAATGAGGATTCAGTTTGAGAGCACGACGTTTTTTGTTTATTTCAATTTTCTATTTTTTGCAATTTTTTAATTAAATTTAACGTCTAAATGGCAAAAACCGGACGAACGACTCGATTGGCTAACCGCCTCGACCGCTCGCCAACCGCTACATAAAATCGGAGAGGCTTTTATACTGTTCTGAGCCGATTTTGTGATCGGATGGGGTTTTACCGATCGGGCCGAGCGGCTCGGCAAACACTACAAAGAATTATTCACCTCAACCAATCATTTTCTTTCATTTTTCTAGGTTGATTACGTATGTATATACATACAATGTGAAACTCAAAATTTCAACTATATAGTTTACTTAAATTGCCCACCATAGTTACCTAAAAAATAAATTGCCCTCCTTAATTCTAAATTGTCAATGATTATTAGTTGTATCTTATTTGAATTTTATATTATTTTTCTATTCTTTCTGTGTTGCAACACATTATGCATAGTCTTACAACTTGACAAGTTGTTTTCCAATAGAGAATTGTAAAAATCATATATTGAATGCATCTCCAATATATATCATATATCTATTACTATACAATTGTTTCACCTAAACTCTCCCGACCAACAATTTTTAGCTAGAAGTTATCAAAACAAACGAACTGTTTTCAATTAGATTTATATGCCAACGTTTATCAAATAATACGATTATTTGTATGTTACCCGCCCAACCGGGGTCCGGTGCTAGTTTCTTTTATTCGGTTTAGTAACACCACAACAGCAAGGAACGTATATTAAACCTAGCGAATCACAGATTTCTGTAAAAAAAAAAAAAAAAACCTAGCGAAGATTTGAGGGTAATTAGCATAAATGGTCACAAACCTTTGCACTTAGTACAAAATAGTCACAAACCTTTAATTTGTAACCATTTGATAACAAAACTTTTTACTTAGAACAAAACGGTCACAAATTAAACAGTGTGACCATTTCATACAAGTTCAAACTTTTGTTACCATGTCGTTGCAAATTAGACTTTTGGTGACCGTTTTGTACAAATTAAGTTCAAAAGTTTGACCGATCAATCACCGTTACAATTCGCTCTAGTTGTATGGTGGTTTTGATAATGTATGTGAATGATATGATCGTCATAAAGGATGACAATAAAAGAATTCAATGACTCACAAACGGGTTCCAGACTGCTTTTTAGTTGAAAAAACTCTGTCTACTTTCTTACTTTCTTGGTATCGAAATTCAAAGGTCAACTTAGGGCATTCATATTCGGCAAAGCAAATATGTCGATGAACACATGACCTGACATCTTATATGTCGTTCAAGTGGTTAGTGTCATATACTTTAACGAACAAACTACCCGACCTCAAAACATGACAAACATTTAATTTTTGTAACGATTCGGTAACAAACCTTTGCACTTAAAACAAAACGGTCACAAATTAAATAGTGGTGACCATTTTATACAATTTCAAAATTTTGTTACCGTATTGTTACAAATTAAAAGTTTGTGACCGTTTTGTACTAAGTACAAAGATTTGTTACCATTTATCCTAATTACCCGAAGATTTGACGATCTTTCCTACAATATCCAATTCGGAAGCGGAAGGTCTGTACTGCGCCCAATATTTACCTCGGCCCAAATCTAACATTATTGAAATTTATAATGGGCCGATCCACCGACCTCGATTTGTTCGACCCAGAAATAACTCCGTTTACTGGTTGATGCTTTCCATTTCCTAGTAGTTGTAGGCCGTCAGATCAATATAAAGCAAAGCCATCGCACCCGTCCGCCTCCTCCTTTCCCCGCTGCGCTTTAAATATTTGTTTATCCCGGCGAGGTGTGCGATAGAGCTGTTTGCGTTGATTATCAGCACTGTTTCTGTCGTCGGAGAATCGTAAGCACACGGCGGTTCATAGCGGCAGAGCGAAGAAGCGAGGAGAAAGCAGCAATGTCGGGAGTCACCAATCAGGAGGAAGACAAGAAGCCAGCAGACGGGGCAGCTCACATCAATCTCAAGGTCAAGGGCCAGGTAAGATTCCCTCTCAACTCTTCGCTTGCCTTCGATTAGCTTCATTCTGATAGGTCACTGCTTTTGTAAGATCGCGTTCTTTGTGTCTCAGGATGCGTATTTTCCGACTTGGGTTAAAAGTCGTGTGTTTGATTGTTAGGGTTAGGGTTTCAATTCAATTTTTTTGGGGGTTTAGTTTGTTTCTGTGCCTGTGTACTTAGTTCATCGTATGGAACTCCCCTATGGAGGGAATCCGAGTCATTATTATTATTATCCATTCCTTACTGGTTTTGGTGCTTATCGACTAAAGTTGTTCCTTTTCCAATAACTTCTCTATGTTTTTGCATGGTTTTATTTAGGCGACCCAGGGGAACTCTTTATGGGTTACTGGTGGCTATGCTGACATTGGTTTCCATTGGTGTTCCCACTTGTTTTGGTCCTTACATCAATTATAGGTAGCAGATACTTGTGATTCTGCGATTCAACGCAGGCTTTGAGTTACTCTCGCGAACTCTGAAGTACTTTCATGGTTGCCTTATTGGTTTCTTTACTTAGCTCTACCTTTCATTGAGTTGGAGTGTGCAAGCAGGTTTAGACTGCCGGTGAAGTAAACATGAATGAAGGGGACTCTCGTGAATCCCCCTATGGCGAACTAGCATTTGATTAAGTATTGGTCTTGTCTAATTATCTGATAGAATTTTCTGTACTGGATTCTATTTTCTGCGTATATAGTTTACTCCGACCGGCTTAGGGTTTCGAGATACACCCCAGGAGGGGCAACTAGAGTAGCTTAAGAAACATGGGTATATTGTATCCTAGATCAGTGCGCAGTCCTTCTGCTCTATCTGCAAAATATTTAGATCAGTATTTTCTCAATTTCCTTGAACATGTTATTCTAATTTTTTTTGCATTTTGTAGGATGGGAATGAAGTCTTCTTCAGGATCAAGAGAAGCACTCAATTGAAGAAGCTTATGGGTGCGTATTGTGACCGTCAGTCGGTTGACCTCAACTCCATCGCATTCTTGTTTGATGGCCGCAGGCTTCGTGCTGAGCAGACTCCAGATGAGGTCTCTGTCTTTCCTCCTTTATATTCTGCTCTGTTTTTATTCTGGCCATATGCTTGAAACATGTCTGCTCTGTGAGCACTTAGTTCAACTTTGAATTTGTCTTGAGTTTTTGCTGAGCCATCAGTATATAGTACTGATCTGAGCTTTCTGTCTTGCAGCTAGAGATGGAGGACGGAGACGAGATTGATGCAATGCTCCACCAGACCGGGGGTGCAGCAAGTGCCTAGAAAGATATCTGCTTTTTCTGTGGTAGATGTAAGATATTAGTTATTCTGTTAATTACTGGTCTCTGAGAAGTAGTCTGCTTTTCGAGTAGGGAGCGATCTCTGATATACCGTCTATCTTTAGTAGTTTGATGCTATGCTAGAGGCTATCTTCGTGAGTAGATTGTTATTATGATGCTATCCTCAATCCCCACGGAGGTTAGGTATGTATGGATCTATGTATGGGAAATATTGTTGAGACCCTAAATAGCTTTCGTCTGGGTATTATTCATTCGCCTGTGTGCCACATTCATCGTTGATTGTTCTTAGGGTCGTTTTACGAGGAATCTGATAAATTTGCGAGGGAGTTGCGCCCAAATCCTTGCTTACAAAATCACATATCTGTCATGTGGGATTTGACTTTTGAGCTAAATCCATTGTTTGGTTAGGATCAGGGTTCTCATTAAAGAAATCAAAATATCATTTTACCATCGTCTTCTTCCACTCATCCTCATCTTCTTCCTCCCAACAAAATGCGCCTTAGCAGTTGATCCCAATACCAAGCGCAATTCTCAGCGGCCATGGCTTCGACGGATTGAAGGAGTATAATGCTGGCTCTGGAGTCTGGATTGCAAGGGATGAACTCTATATTCATTTCATCTTTTGAATCTCGTTGATGACAAACCTCCTGGCTCTGGAGTCTGGATTGCAAGGGATGAACTCTATATTCATTTCATCTTTTGAATCTCGTTGATGACAAACCTCTATTCTCGACGAGGATGAATAACAAAATCCACTGGTGAAGAAACCTAATTCTTCATCCCGTTCAATAACAGTGAAATCCACGAGTGTCGATATGGACCAATTCGTTGCATACACCTAAATGATAATCAAGTCAAATTACCTAATGACATTTCTTCTCGTAAGGGTGTTGAGAGAAGCAGATCGAAGCCAGCCTATGTATTCTGGGAGGACGAGCAACATGAAAAGAAAGTAACTAATGACGCAAATCAGGCGGATTCAAAGCAATGTGGAAATGGAAAGAATTGCAATCTTGCCAAAAATAAGTGGAGCAGATTTGGCAAGTCAAGATTTCTCTTCAACGGCTCTGCTGCGGACAGATATAAACTTGAGCTCAATTGAGTTGAGAGAGATAATTTTTCCCTGTGATTTTCACGATATAGAAAATAAGAGAGAACTTGAGAAGCAAGGGTCTTTTGTTAGGAGTGATCAGTAGTGCTAATCGAGGTGATTAGCTGGGAAAAATCGGGGTGTTTGAACAGGAAGTTTGTACACCAAAGGCTTAACTTGGTAGATCAATTGGGAGCTGATTAGGAGTTCACCACGTTCTGTAAAACACAAGACACTAAGATAGTGCTTACGTAGGAGATCTCAAGTAGAGAGTCTCCTACCGTGGATTATTCGATATTGGGATCCTCATTCTCCCAATATCGGATACCACGTAAAAATATGGTTTGTCTGTGTGAGTGAGTTTGATTCTGCTGCTGGTATTTTCTTGTTATCTTACTCTGTTTTGCAGGAACAGAGTTCTGGGAAGAAGTCTTGGTTTCACTACGAAGAAGAAGACGCTGCGAATTGGGCTCAGACAGCAGGCCCAATTCATTTTGTTAGCAATTACATTGTTCAGGGCTCAAAGCCCACTTTGGGTCGTTTTACCTATTAACTAAAGTTTAGAATATCTGGAATTAAAACTCATCTTCATTTTCTCACTTAATATTTCCATCACTCGATTCCCTCACTTGATCTAAGATTGCAGAATTAGGGTTCATCCAAAAGGAGATACCATCAAAGAGAAACCCTACCGTCTCGCGCTCGACGATCCAACACGTGGTATCAGAGCCCGACTCCTGCACAAGAGGCTTAATTGTCAGCGGAGAAGATGAGCTCGCGGTCAGCAACTGGAATTTTCATGGCGGACGGATTCTCCCAAACAAGACCACCAAGATTTGAGGGGGTTCATTACGGGTACTGGCAAAATCGGATGGAACTATTCATAGGATCGACGGATCCTGATCTATGGAACATAGTAATGGATGGTCCTCTCGAAGTGAAGGAAGCTCGTGGGAAATGGACTGAAGTCGACAAGAAGAACTTCCAGATGAATTCAAAAGCTACCAACCTAATGTACTGTGCTCTGGGTCCCAAGGAGTATCACAGAGTGTCAGGGTGTAAGACAGCCAAGGAGATCTGGGATAAACTCCAGATAGCACATGAGGGCACATCACATGTGAAGATCTCTCGAATCAATAGTCTGAAGCAGGAGTTTGAGTCATTCATCATGAAGCCAGAGGAATCAATCAGAGAAATGATTGAGCGATTCACTACAATCGTAAACAGTATGAGGAATCAGTAGGTGGAGTATGCCAGTGCAGATTTAGTAAGGAAAGTTCTCTGGGATTTACCTAAGCGATGGACTCCTAAAGTAACTGCCATCGAGGAGTCCAAGGATCTTACCAGACTAAGTCTAGATGAACTGATCGGATCCCTGGTAACACATGAAGAAAAACTGAAAAGGAAGGAGGTGGAAGAGCCTCGGAAGGAAAAGAAAGGAATCACCTTCAAGGCGCTAACACATGAAGATGATTTGGATTGTCTTGAAGAAATGGAGGATGACGAACTAGCAATGCTCAGCAAACACGTAGCTAAGCTGCTACGGATGAGAAAAGAAAAGAGAAGAGGAAGTTTTCTCAATAGAGCAAGGGATGGGGAAAATGAAAGGGAATTCAGCAGACCAAGCCGATTTGGGTTGAAGAACAAGAGAGAAGGAACAAATTCTGAAAAGGCTCAGCCACAAGCTGGATGCTTCAAATGTGGCAAGGCTGGACACATCAGAGCTGATTGCCCCTTACTGAAGAAAGAAAAAGCCTTTGTTGCTACATGGAGCTGTAGTGAAGATGACGAAGATGAGGAGGACACAAAACAGCAAGCATACATGGCTATTGAAGAAAGCGACATAGAGGAAAGCGAAAAATAGACTGTCTCCAAGTGAGCATGCCAGACAGCGTTTGGATTCTGGATAGTGGATGCTCACACCACATGACAGGGGATAAAGGGCTTTTTACAAATCTAGTTCTAGGAAAGAAAGGTAAAGTTTTCTTTGGTGATAATTTCAGTACAGAAATTCTAGGAAAAGGACAAGTAGGATCGATGCCATCAATAAATAATGTCATGCTTGTTAAAGATCTTAAACATAATTTACTTTCAATAAGCCAAATGTGTGGGAGTAAAAACAGAGTAATATTCGAGCCAGAAAAGTGTTTCGTTGAAGAAATCTCTTCTGGTAAAATACTTTTCACTGGCAAACGAAAGGGTAAGCTGTTTACCATTGATTTAAATGACAAAGCTGCATTCAATGAAATTTGCTTAATCTCTGTTGATAAAAATGACCAGGTAGAATGGCATCGTAGACTAGGTCATGTTAGTGTAGGTACTTTGTCCAGGCTAGTAAACCTAGGGTTAGTAAGAGGCATTCCAAAAATTAACAGTAAGAAAGAATTCTTTTGTGATGCTTGTGCTAAAGGAAAGCACACTCGAGCATCTTTCAAAACCAAGGCAATCATCTCTACTAATAGACCTTTGGAACTGCTTCATCTTGATTTATTTGGTCCAAGTAATATAAAAAGCCTAGGTGGAAAATATTATGCATTCGTGATTGTGGATGATTTTTCAAGATATACTTGGGTACTCTTTCTCACCAGCAAAGATGAAGCTCTGCCTGAATTCAAAAACTTCTCTGCTCGAGTAGCAAATGAAAAACAAATCAAGATCATCAGCATCAGAAGTGATCATGGTGGGGAATTTGTGTCAGAAAACTTTAAAAGGAATCTCGCATAATTTTTCTGCACCAAGGACACCACAACAAAATGGTATTGTCGAAAGGAAAAATAGGACACTTATTGAAATAGGAAGAACAATGCTTAATGATTATGGGGTACCTAAACAGTTCTGGGGTGAAGCTATCAATACTGCTTGTTATATAACAAACAGAGCACTAATTAGGTCAAAACTAAACAAAACACCCTATGAGCTATGGAAGGACAAAAAACCTAACTTAGGGTATTTTCATCCTTTTGGATGCAAATGTTTTATTCTAAATACCAAAGACCAGTTAGGAACGTTTGACCCCAAATTAGATGAAGCCATTTTTCTGGGGTACTCAGTAAACAGTAAGGCCTATCATGTCTATAATAAAAAGACCCTCAAAGTTGAGGAGTCCATTCATGTGGTATTTGATGAGTCTACTAGTAAGTGTGCAAAAACTCTAGAAGATGATGAAGACTTTGGACTCAGCTTAAGTCAAACCAGAGAGGCTACTGAAGCAACGACAAGCATTGAGACAACTCAGGATGCAGAAGCTGAAAATATGCATAAGCCAGAAGCTCCTCCACATATTCAAAATCGGCACCCTCCCTCTCTAGTGATTGGGGACTTAAATCAAGGCATGGTCACACGATCTAAAACCTATCCTGAGCATATTGCCTTCATATCATTAATAGAACCTAAAGATATTGATGAAACTTTAGAGGATGAATTTTGGAATGCTGCAATGCATGAAGAAATGCATCAGTTTGAACGAACTAGGGTCTGGGACTAGGGGTGTAAGTTTGACCCTTAAAACCCACTGACCCCCCCCCCCTACCCGCCCCGACCCTCAGGGTCGGGCTGGGTCAGTTTGTCTATAGGGTCAATTTAGGGTCGGGTCAGCTTAGGGTCGGGTCAGGGTCAGATAGGGTCGGGTCACTTTTTGACCCTATGACCCTTAGCATCATACAAACATGTTGGACCTATTTGTAAAATTTTAAAAGTTTAGGTACTAAATTGTAAAAATTAAAAAATTAGGGTACCAGAACGTAATTTTACCATCAAATTTTAGGGACTTATTTGTAAAAAAATAAATTTTAGGTACTAAAATGTAAGAAAAAATAAATTCGGTTACCAAATTGTAATTTTTAGAAAAGTAGTCTATTTATTAGGGTCGACCCACTGACCTGACCCTTCCTGACCCGCCCCGACCCTAAAGGGTCAGACAGGGTCATGAAAGAAACAGGGTCGGGGCGGGTCAGTTATACATCTTGACCCTTCAGGGGCGGGTCAGACAGGGTCAAGACAGGGTCAGAGGCGGGTCGGGCCAATTTTCAGCCCTATCTGGGACTTGGTTCCTAGACCGAAAAACAGAACCATTATAGGAACTAAATGGGTCTATCGAAACAAATATGATGAACTTGGAATGATTATAAGAAATAAATCAAGATTAGTAGCACAGGGTTATAATCAAGAAGAAGGCATAGACTTCGATGAAACTTTTGCACCTGTGGCTAGATTAGAGGCAATTAGATTACTTTGTGCTAATGCTGCTTCAAAAGGTTTTAAACTATACCAAATGGATGTAAAAAGCGCCTTTCTTAATGGGGATTTAAAAGAGGAGGTGTATGTTGAACAACCCCCTGGTTTTGAAGATTCTGAACACCCTGACTATGTTTATAAATTGAATAAAGCCTTGTACGGTTTAAAACAAGCTCCACGAGCTTGGTAGGACAAGCTAAGTCAGTTTTTAATCAATGATGGGTTTCGTAGGGGTCAAGTAGACAAAACCTTATTCATAAAAAATCAGGGTGAACATATTCTGTTAGTACAAGTATATGTCGATGACATAATCTTTGGATCCTCAAATCTAGAAATGTGTAAAAACTTTGAAATGTCGATGAAAGGTGCCTTTGAAATGAGTCTCATGGGTGAACTCAATTTCTTTCTAGGTCTGCAAATTAAACAAACAGGCAAGGGCATCTTTATTAGTTAAACAAAGTATCTGAATAACATGCTAAAACGTTTTGGCTTCACAAACCTAAAAGTTGCATCCACTCCTATGGGTTCCTCGATCAAACCACTAAGGATTTATCTGAAAAATCTGTAGACAGTCGTTTATTTAGAGGGATGATAGGATCACTGCTATATCCGACTGCTAGCAGACATATATTATGTATAGTGTCTGTGTTTGTGCTCGGTTCCAAAGCACCTCAGGTGCTTGTCACTTTCTAGGCTCTTCTCTAGTTTCCTGGTTCAGCAAGAAACAGAACACAATGGCACTCTCTACTGCAGAAGCAGAGTATGTGGCTGCAGGGTTCTGTTGTACTCAACTCCTCTGGATGAAGTATCAGCTTGGTTCATTACCAGTCATGTGTGATAAGACTAGTGCTGTAAATATGACCAAGAATCCAATCCAGCACTCTAGAACTAAACAAATAGAGGTTCGCTATCACTTTATTAGTGATCTTGTTCAAGATGGACTGATTCATCTTCAATTCATCAACACTGAATTTTAGTGGGCTGATATCTTTACTAAGCCTTTAGGAGCTGAAAAATTTCTATCTATCCGTAGAGAACTTGGCTTGTTTTCACTGGAAGAGATCTCCATGATTTCTTAGAATATGTGCTAATTAATAAATCATTCGTTAATTGATTCTTTCCTCATTAGGACCCTACTCCTTCCTCTTCTGACTCTCCACGATAACCTTATATAGGTATTCCTCCCTAACCATGTCCTTCATCCTCAGTCTTTACTTAAGCATCATAAATCCCTTGTTCTTCCCATGGCCCCATCAATTCTCAATTGCATCCAGTAGTCACTTTCAACAACAAGGGGTTTCATAATCTTGCGCGCTATGAGCGCTATCTCAACCACTTTCGCCACCGCCCTCTTTATCCATCATTCACTATTCATCCTTCCACCTTCCAAAAGTATGGCCTAGATATCTTGGGGCTTATCCATAATCTTGGTTGGGACTCGCTCTTTGAGAACCAAAGGTTCAGTCAATGCCCTGAGGCAATTGGAATGTTCTATGCCAGTCTGAAAAGGGGTCCTAGCCCAACTCCTTCCTCATTCACCACTGTGGTGTATCACCATGAGATACTGATAACACCTTCTCTATTAGCTGAAACCCTAGGGCTTCCCTGTCAAGGACCCTCTGGTGCTACCAATGATGACTTTGCCGAGATTCGGTTTGACTATGAGTCTGCATTGGAATCTCTCACCTTCAACATTGGTTGTCACTTTTCCAATATGCTTTCAGCTAGAAGACTCGCGGATCTTTTCAAAGTGATGCACTTTTTCATTACTCGCATCCTGCTTCCTCGCAGCTTGTCCAGTGCTGAGTTAGCTCACCCTTCGAACGTCTGGATCATGGCTAATGCACGAGATAGGATTCTTCTTAACTTCTCCTCACTCATGTTTGCTCACATGATCGAGTATGGTGATGAGAATTATTATGGTCCCCTCCCCTTTGGTCGTCAAATAACTCGTCTCCTCTACACTCTTGGCATTGACCTTTTAGACAAGGTCATTGTTTGTGATGTTCGAGACGATTTGCGTGCTCAACATATTCTTGCTCGTGTCGATGCTTCTGTTGGCAGACGAAATCCTGTCATTCGCTCAGGGGGAGAACAGTCTGCTGGTGTTTCTGCAAATCAGCTGGTCCATGCTCTACTAGATGTTGCATCTGTGGCATTGGATAAGAAAATTCAATCCATCAAGAGCAAGGAGCTCTATAGCTTAGAGTAATCTGTTTAGGGGGAGTCCATTGTTCTGGTTAGTTAAGGAAGATTCTTGGTCATCGAGTCAACAAGGTTGTTGGGGGTCAATCTCTGTCTGTTTCAAGTCTTCTGTGTTGCTTGTTTTTATTAAAATATGAATAAAGAGGATTCAATCTCTTCTCCAGATTCTATAGCACTAGGTCAAGTATACTCATTGGAACAGGCTGCACCAACCGTTTGTTGAGTTGTGCAGAAAATGTGTGAAAGCAGCAGAAGCAAGAGCAAATGACATGCTTAGGGGAGAATGTTGAGAGAAGCATATCGATGCCAGCCTGTGTATTCTGGGAGGACGAGCAACATGAAAAGAAAGTAATTAATGACGCAAATCAGGCGGATTCAAAGCAATGTGGAAATGGAAAGAACTGCAATCTTGCCAAAAATAAGTGGAGCAGATTTGGCAAGTCAAGATTTCTCTTCAACGGCTCTGTTGTGGACAGATATAAACTTGAGCTCAATTGAGTTGAGAGAGATAATTTTACCTGTGATTTTCACGATATAGAACAAAAGAGAGAACTTGAGAAGCAAGGGTCTTTTGTTAGGAGTGATCAGTAGTGCTAATCGAGGTGATTAACTGGGAAATATCGGGGGTGTTTGAACATGAAGTTTGTACACCAAAGGCTTTGCTTGGTAGATCAACTGGGAGCTGATTAGGAGTTCACCAAGTTCTGTAAAACACAAGACACTAAGATAGTGCTTACGTAGGAGATCTCAAGTAGAGAGTCTCCTACCGTGGATTAGTCGATATTGGGATCCTCATTCTCCCAATATCGGATACCACGTAAAAATCTTGTTTGTCTGTGTGAGTGAGTTTGATTCTGCTACTGGTATTTTCTTGTTATCTTACTCTGTTTTGCAGGAACAGAGTTCTGGGAAGAAGTCTTGGTTTCACTACGAAGAAGAAGACGCTGCGAATTGGGCTCAAACAACAGGCCCAATTCATTTTGTTAGCAATTACATTGTTCAGGGCTCAAAGCCCACTTCGGGTTGTTTTACCTATTAACTAAAGTTTAGAATATCTGGAATCAAAACTTATCTTCATTCTCTCACTTAATATTTCCATCACTCGATTCCCTCACTTGATATGAGATTGCAGAATTAGGGTTCATCCAAAAGGAGATACCATCAAAGAGAAACCCTACCGTCTCGCGCTAGACGATCCAACAAAGGGATGGTTGAGTTTTATATTGCACTACTTGTTTCTTGCGTTCAACCTTAACAACCAATATCATTTTGCAGGATGGTCTTCATTGGAGTGCCAAGGATCCTTTTTGTTATTCTCATGCAAACTAGTGTTTATTTTATTTCCAGTGATGTAGGAAGCAACACCGAGTGTCAAAGTCATCAGCATAAGTATCATGAAAATATATGAGGTTAGCTCTGGTATGCTATATGCTTACATCAATTTCTTGAATAAATTGGCTTCTTCTGGCATGCACCCATCAAAGTGTTTGGTGACGGCATCAGTAACATTCAAATTGTTACTTATGCATTGTTTCATTATTTTGACATGAGACATTCAGTTATTTTATATATCATTCAATTCTTCTTTATTACAATTTTGATGTGCTTTTAAGTTTATCTGGTTTCTCACAACAACAGACTATTCATTTTGCATGCTATTATGTGTGAAAAATATAATTTAATCTTGTAAACCTGTACAATAAATTTGTACCAAAAGAAATAAAAAATTTAACTAAGAGAGATCCACTTTTTTAGAATGTGTACCGCGTTGGTGTAGTTTCAAGCACACTCATTCACTAAAAAATACACCAAAACTATTCTTTGCATACACTATTCCAACTTTACAAGTATGACTCTCATATCATGCAACCAACTCAATGACCCATAGTTTGACCCATGTGTTCAATGTTTTGCTACTTCTTAAAGTTCTATTCTTTCCGGATCCACACATAGCCCACAATCTCAGAAAGCAGGCCCATTAATTCGAACTCACGCAACCGGGCCCCCAAGAAATATAAAAAATCTAACTCTCCTTTTTTATTTGGAAAATAATTCAATTCAGTTTATTTCTTTTCCTAAAAAAAAAAAAAAAACTTTTCCCTTTCTCGTGTAAGCGTATTATTTCCACCTGCCCGAACATATAAAACGTTAAACGTCCACGGGCAGACGCCATAGGAAGAACAGAGTGAAACAGAGTAACAGACAAAAATAATAATAACACAGAGTAAAGCAGGCGGGAAGGGCAGTGAGATTGAAATCGGTGACCAAAGCAATCATGAAGGAGGATGTTAATCACTACTGCAATCATCATCAACATCGGAACATTCTTTCTTTCATCCTCGTCCAAATTACAATCATTGCCGCCGCCGCCGTTCCCTTCTCCGATCAGTCGCCCTCCGTCCCCGACTACGGCGACGCGCTGTCGAAGAGCCTCCTCTACTTCGAATCCCAGCGCTCCGGCCGATTACCACACGGCCAGCGCGTCTCCTGGCGCCACCATTCCGCCCTCCTCGATGGCCTCGAACAAGGCGTACGTGCGCCCGCGCCTTGCTCTGTTTTCATCACTGCTGATGCTCTGTTCCTTTTGTCGTGGGATTAAAATTGGGATCTAGTCTCTGCTGCCTCTTTTTTTTCCCCTTCCTTAAATTTTCGTCTTGGTTTCGCCGATGACAGGTGGACTTGGTGGGCGGGTACTATGACGCCGGAGACAACGTCAAATTCGGGCTGCCCATGGCCTTCACCATCACAATGCTGTCGTGGGGAGTGATAGAGTACGGCGACGATATGGCCGCCGCCGGAGAGTACCACCACGCGCTCGAAGCGATTAAATGGGGCACCGATTACTTCGTCAAAGCACACACCAGCCCCAATGTCCTCTGGGTTCAGGTGATTCTAATTTCTTTCGCCGGGAATTAAAAACATTAGTAAATCGATAGTGTACAGTTTCACTCTTATTATTCTTCTAAGAAACGAGATTGCGACTAGATATATGAAATATCCGAACAATTAAAGTTTGTATTTTTTTTTCTCCCTTTGCTTAATGAAGGTGGGAGATGGTGATACTGACCACTACTGCTGGCAACGGCCGGAGGACATGGCGACGTCCCGGCGGGCGTACAAGGTGGACGAGAAGAATCCGGGGTCGGAGGTGGCCGGGGAGACGGCGGCGGCGATGGCGGCGGCTTCGATTGTGTTCAGGAGAACGAATCCACATTACGCCCACCTGCTATTACAGCATGCACAACAAGTAGGTCTTAGTTATGCGTATTTTAATCGTTTGTTTATAAATTATATTAATCACTTTCTATAGCGACATTTCTCCTTATATTCGTGATGCATAGGGATTAGGGAGGTTGATTAGGTGCCCCTTATTTCACCAAAACTCACTTCCTCATTTCGTGAATTCGTTGGTCTAATTCTCCTAAATAACCTACTCAACTTCCATTACTTATTCACGACGGGTACTACTGCTAATTAAACCTGATTTTTTTGGCAATTATTCAAAATGTGCATATAACTTCGATATTTGTGCAAAATGGTCAGATGATAAGAAATTCATCCAGTTTGCAAATGTTAGTATTTCAGGTGAAAATCTAAGTTCATATAGCTAATAATTACACGAACCAACTCACCGAAATAATAGGCAAGCTATATTTGAAGTTAAAAAAGTTCACACTCAATCGCCTCGCTTATTCAATGTGATTCTTTTTAGTTTGACATATATATTTTTATGGATATGATGGATTCCATAGGTGCTTCTTTCAAAATAAAGGAAATATTGGATATGATTATAAATGGAAGTGGCTAATTTGCTACCAAAAAATTGAAAATTATTTTACCATTTGAAAAAAAAAGAAGAAGATGCATAGTGTTTTGAATAATTATTTATTTTCCTTGCCAATCCTTCTGCCCTTACTTTTAAATGTCAATTGGAGGCATGATTTGGCTAGCAAAGTAGAATTGGCCAAGTAGTTGTAAGGCGACAGCGTTTGAATCCAAAAATCTCAGTTTCAAGGCCCGTAACGTTAAGGCACTCATAAAAAATGCATGATTTGGCTGGTTGAATTGGATGGTTGATTCTTTTACGTACTTTATGAGACCCAAAAAAATCTCACGTATTCTCAAATCTCTACAATCTGAATTTTACCATGAAGTCTTGTCGGTCTTGATTCTAAATCATTTAGCACGCATGCAACCAACGTTAACCTAGATTAATTGCTGAACAAAAAACAAATTAAAAACACCCGATTTATTTACTGTGAAATATACATTTGCAGCTGTTCGAGTTTGGAGACAAATACAGAGGCAGGTACCACGAGAGCGTGAAGGCAGCCAAGGGTTTCTACCCTTCCACGAGCGGCTACAACGACGAGCTTCTCTGGGCCGCCCTATGGCTCTACAAAGCCACCACCAACCAAACTTACCTCAACTACGCCCTCCAAAATGCTCACCACTTCGGTGGAGCCACTTGGGCCGTCAAGGAGTTCAGCTGGGACATCAAATACGCCGGCCTCCAGCTCCTCGCCTCCACCGTACGTTACATAATCCCTAATTTTCGTATTAGTGTTAGGGTTACTATAGCGCGTATTACTCTTTACCTATATGACCCCCCCCTCTCTCTCTCTTTGTTTGCAGCTACTGAGGGATGAAACAACAAGGCACGACAACCACAGCCGCAATATACTAGAAACCTACCGCTCCAAAGCCGAGTACTACCTCTGCGCCAACCTCAACAAGAACGTTGGAAACGATAACGTGCAGCTCACGCCAGGAGGCTTGATCTACATCCGACAATGGAACAACCTCCAATACGCGTCATCAGCGGCGTTCCTGCTCACGGTCTACTCCGACCACCTCCGGTCCACGAACCGCCAGCTGGCATGCAGCGCTGGCGGCCACGTGGACCCGTCGGAGATCCTCGGGTTCGTCAGATCGCAGGTGGATTACGTGTTGGGGAAGAATCCGATGGAGACGAGCTACCTTGTGGGGTACGGCAAACGGTACCCCAAGAGGGTGCACCACAGGGGAGCTTCAACGGCGTCGTATAAGAGCCACGAGGGTTTTATTGGGTGTGTGCAGGGGTATGATATTTGGTATAGGAAGAGAAATCCCAACCCTAATGTTCTGGTCGGGGCGGTTGTCGGCGGGCCGGATGAGAAGGATCGGTTTAGGGACGTGAGGGAGAATCACATGCAGACGGAGGCATGTACTTACAATACGGCCGCACTTGTTGGGGTTTTTGCGAGGTTGAATAGGTTGGAGGAGGAGGAGGATGATCCCTTTGACGAGTATTCCTCATCGACAATTGCGTCCATGTAGTAATATTGAAGAAAGAAACTGATTTTGTTTGTTTCTTTTATAATAGAAAATAAGTAGAAGAAAAGATTGAGATGGAACCACCTATTTAATGGTGTAGTAGTGAGATTGTGATCCCATTTTTGTCCATCTTTATGGGATTAACAATGGTGGAAATCATCCCAAGTCCAGCGATGAACTTTCTGATTCAAAAGATTTGTTTTGTAGTTCTTTCGAGCGCATTGAGCTGATCATAGGTATGCATGTAAGCAAAAAAGCTAGAAATTCTACTTGTTTCCTCATTATTCATGATCCGTGCATAAACTCTTTTAAAAGGATTCTCACATTTAAATTGACTTTGGAGCGATCTTTTTTAACTATCCCTCTATAATATATAGAGATATTTCAGAAGATTTTGAGTATTTCGAATTCCTTGCACTCTTCATACGAGAAAAAAAATGTCATTACAAAGACTTGAATTTGAGTCCTTCAGATTAATAGTCAATATCCCTAACCAACTGGACTACAACAATGTTTATGTATTTTTTTTCAATTAAAGAGAGAAAATACTGAAATATCTCAAAATCATAGAACTATCCACCGCAACAATCAATCGTCGAATTAATTAATAACTGTAATTATTTACAAAGTGAATCATCATGATATACCTAGCTTTATGAATCAACTAAGTGAGTTCCTCTAATCACACAATTCTTCACCAAAAATCAAATAGTACATTTTGAGTTTATGTATGTCTTACAACTTTTACATTTATTAGGTTACATGACTTTGTAGTTTGTAGGAATACAAGGATTGTTTACAAAAGTGCTATACAAAATTTTGTTTCAAAACATAAAATTTGACATTTATGATCTATGGTTTTATAACGAGACATTTTCAATGATATAAGTGAATGATAAAAAATCATTGGCTAACAATTTCCCTAATGGTTGACAATTATAAGCATAGAATTGAAAGACGAAATACCATTGACAAATGAGCCAATTATCATTGGCTAAATTTAACAAACAATGGTATGTGTATATACATTGGAAATTCTATGGTACGCTCGATGGATTGAGGGTTATTACATCTCCTTAGTTAAATAACATTATCTAGACCATAGATTAATCACGTAACTAAACCCTATATCCCATAATTCTCTAAATCCTAATATAGTGCATATGGTATGTTGTATACAACTTGGCGAATCAGAATCATTGATTATGTTCTTAGTATATGTGATATTAGGGTTTAAGTTCTATAGATTTAGGAAATATGATTTAATTATTCGAAACTTAATCTCCATTTTCAAACTTCCTGCAATGAGAGGGAAATTAGGAAGAACAATTTTGTCTTCACAATTATTTGTATTTTTTATTTATTTACAGAAAAAGATAGACATATTGAGATTGGAACCATGGTCACTTCAAACAAAATGAAGGTTTAAAATCAATCAGACTATGTAGATTTGCTGTATTTTTAAAATTAAAAATATATACGAAGCTAAAATATGAAATCACAGAACTTTTCAACAATTAGCTAGCCCAATAAATATTCCGTAAGTACTTATTTGTTGTTTTGATACTTTTTATTTTAATTATAGTTTAATACTTAATTTAAAATTTTATGTATCTTATAGATAGACAATAACCATAAATTTGCAACCAAAATATTGTTGGTTCGAATATTTCATATCGAATTATAGTATTGAATATGTAGAAGCGATATAGAATTCTTAAATTACCATTAATTTCCAGAACTATAGTGAAGCAATCATATCTTTGTGCAAACTATAGGGGACTGGTTCTCCGAACATTTTTGCCCGGTTAAATACTAAGTTTCGAAACTCTTCCTAGGGGTATACGTGGGTCGGTTCGTTTGGGTTTAGATATTTTAATCACCTAACTCATATACCACGATTTTAAAAACACTAAATACAAACTCACCCAAATAATTTAGAATTTTAACGATTTGTGTCCTCCATACCAAATGAACCAATTTACATGTTGCTTAACTAAGGATGATCTCATTGTCCAATCCCATCATTCTAATGTCAATCCATAAAACGAACCCATATTCGCGTTTGTTAACACATGTTTCACATTGTCATTACTGTGACCGGTAACTTCGCTGCAACTGATTCGGTATTGCTCATCATATGGCCTCCAAACTGATAAATATATCGGGCCAGCAGTTTTATGGCAAAACTCAAAGTGAAGACAACTCATCCTCTGGTGGAATTTTGGCGCTTGCTAGTGTCCATTAATCTAATTGCAAGCATAATGATTGCTCAAATTAAGTTTTTACGCAACACACTGGGAGTTGGGGGTGTGAACTTGGAGTAAAAGTTGATATTGGGTTTGGGAAGGAAAGTGGTGAGATGAAGAAATTGTGTTTGGATTTGGTAGCAGGTAAAGTTCATGGTTCGGTTTCTTTTCGTAAAATGCTTTGATTTATTTTAGTTAGAGGTATAATATCATGTTTATGTGGGATCAAATGAACCAAAAATGAGCTTGGGGGATGGGAATTTCAACTTAGAAGGAGCGGATTAGATTTTGATAAACTCAAGTTCATGATTAACTGAAAGAATATATATTTAGATTTAGACTTTGTGGTATTGAGATGTTCATAGAGAGTTTAAAACTGATCAAAGGCCATGGATTGATATTGGTTAGTTGATTGTGATTTTGAGGAAGGTGTATAAAAAGTCATGGAAGTAGTTTGCAGCAAGTGAAGGCGGTGAAGAGGCAGTTGGTCAGGGTAGTGATTGAACCAAGGAGGGTATTGAAAGACATAGAAGCAAAATATGAGCAGTTAAAGAGAGAGAAGTGGTAGATGATCAAGATATTAATAAAAATGGAGAGAGTATTGAAGGGCATGGAAGTGAACTGGATCAGGTGAAGACAGAGAAGGAGGAGAAGAGCATATTGATGGAATTGAAGATGAGTGTTGGTTTTACGAGCTTACTAAAACTGCCTCGAGGAAGATGAGTTGGCCAAATACAAAAAAGAGGATTGAGGAGTTGGAGATCAAGCTGACAAGAAACTCAATTGAAAGAGAAATTCAGGTTCATGGAGAGAAGGTCCATCAAAGTAGCATAAATAGAGTTGCAGAAGGAGGATTAGAAATTGAATTTTGGTTTAAAACATATACGTCGAGAGATTGAAGATGGAGGGGGATAAAAATTTGGTTGTACAACGGAGAGTGGAAACTATTGGATCTTTAGGTGTTATGGTTGTTGCAACTACCACACACTATGTTTATGTTAAAATGAGAAATCATTGATTGATTTACTAAAGTTAAGGTCGATTCACTATTCAAACTACCGGAACCTGTAGATAAGGAATGTCTAATTTTGTGCCTCATTACTTTGATAGAGTCTATTAGTATATTGGATGTAACTTTAATTTTGTCATTTGCTCTCAAGTTTTAATGGTCTCCTTTTCGTTTAGTTGTTAGCATATGATTTACTTGAATCAACAACTCTTCATTTATGTTTTTTTTATAAATCCATTTCTTTTTATTAGTGACATGTTATTCATAGAGGAGAGCTTTGAACCATTTATGTAGGATTGTGAGGTTTCATTTAAGTTTCAAACTATCTATGGATCGTGTGGGAATTCCAATGAGCTTTTATATTATATATTTCTTGACAATCTATTAACCAATATCATTTTAATGGGGACTCAATTATCATTATGAAAATGAGATTAATGATACATTTTCATATTCTTAAATGAGGAGGGTATTTCTCTGAATGTTCGACCTATATATTCATTCTTTATGTAGCATCTCGATTGAATGATTTTCAATAAACTTAAACGAATTAATAGACTTAAACATAATATAAAAATATAAATATTAAAATATGAACATTCCGACCAACGGACCGGGTTATAAGCTAGTTAATACTAGAGAAAATTTTCACATTTTAGTTCTATCAAAGTCAGATCTTTCATCTAGATGTCCAGTTTGTTCCCTGTCAATTGAATAACAACTAAGATCACCACATCAACTCACACCTCTTACCTTTTATTGTTTAAGCATGATAACAGCTGTGAAGAGAATAAATGTGAAAGAGTATTCACATATAGGTCATAAGAGGTCGTTTGCTTTTGGTATTTTGGTGTTGGATTTTGGCCCAAAATCCAACATATGTTGGACTTTATAATGAATCCATGTTTGTTAGCATATAATGGATTTTGTTTCAATCTGTGGGGTCCACTAATATTGGATTATTTGGAGCTAAAATCCGTGGGCCCCATGGATTATAAAATCTTACCTCTATAGCTAGGACTTTGGAAGATAGATATAATCCATGATGTTTAATGACCGTGTTACCCCCACTCATTTTGTGTAATCCAATTTTGCCCTCGGTTATTATTATCTCTACTGAGGACTTTTGTCTACACTCTCATCTCACCAACTTTGTCTCTTCGTTGCCAAGGGATTGCAACACAGCAAAAAGCTCCGGCAACCTTTTCCATCTCTGCCTATCGTCGTTTTGTCTTCCTTTTATATGAAGCTCAACAATTAATTATTTCATGCTTACATCCTCTTTTTTTATAATCCAATCCAAACCCTTGATTTTCCTTTCGACATTATTGGTTTGGGTTGAGAGTTTCAATTTACTTTAATGGCTTCTTGCGTGTATACAATATGACCAAATAGTATGGATGTTGCTGCCATTTTTACATATGCTAATTCTTCATGTATATACAAAAACATTCAAAATACAAGTAAAGTAAAAAGTGGTTCATTAAGGATAAGAAAGTAATTTCCCCCATCAAGCCATAATTCCAACCTACTAAAAGCCATTACCAAATCCTACAAACAAACATGGAAGTTTCAAAATCCAACATAATCAAAATCCAACATAATCTCTCATATTCAAAATCCAAGGTTTTATCATAATCCCTCATTTTCTAAAATCCTAGAAGCAAACGACCCCTAACATCTTATAGATAAGCCTAACAAGATAGTTGGCATAAAAAAGACAATTTAATCTTATAGAGAGCGTTGACTCTAAGATTTAGAGTCAGATAGTAATAGATGTTAATATTTTCAATTACCACCGAACCAACTCATTATAGTTGTTTCAATAAAATACACGTCATATTATTTTCTGCTCCAAGGCTACAAACCTCTAATATTGCATTAATCAATTAAATTCGTTTTGAAATTTCTCCTATTTTATTAATACTGTAATTAATCAAGTTTACAACTTATAGTAACAGAAAAATTGCAACCAAATTCCAGACGATGATCACAATCCACAAACAAGTTGTTAATCGCCCAAGAGAGCCGACTGAATTGAGGGTGGACATATATAACAACTCCAATTCCCATTAGTTCCATTGTTACATCAAGACATTGATATTAGGTTTGACCAAAGGCTTAAAATATCATGCCTTGATCAGTTCCACGGTGAACATCAAGACCATTGACACAGCTTTGTTTATCATTGGCAATTGACCTAACCGTGGGCCGAATCAAGTCCGGCAAGTAAACCTTCTTTAGAAACATCATCCTAACCAATGTCGAAAAGAAGAAGCTTAAAAATTGTAAGGGGAGTTTGTTGGGACAGAGCTGGGAACTATATGGCCACCGGCACACTAACAATAAATAAATGAATAAACTAAAGGCAACAATGTTCATAAGTGGTTATCTTCATTAATATAAACATTAGGACACCCTCTAATGCTCAAATTAACAGGTGATGTCTAAAAGAGACGAGTAAGGGTGAGTTGAACAACTTGAACTACTCTTCAAGCCTTGAACTAAACTCTTCAAATTGTTTAACAGGTAGGGCATTTGTTAGCAAGTCTACAAGTTGGTGATGAGTTTTGATGCGCAGAATCTTGGTGCGTCAAAATGCTAGCTTCTATCGAACAACATGCACATCTATCTCGATGTGCTTAGTTCGTTCATGAGCAACATGATTGTCTACAATTGTTATAGTAGAGGTATATTGTTACAATATAGTGGAAATGGACTAGTAAAAAGACCATTCACATCACTAAAAAGAAAAGACAACCACTGAGGTTTACGGGTAAAACCAGCCATGGCTTGATACTCAACCTTAGTTGATGACCTCGAAATTGTAGCTTGCTTTATCATTTTTCATGACACTTATGACTTTTCTAAAATAATACAGAATGCCATAAGCCATCTTAGTATCGGGGCATGTAGCCCAACATGAATCAGAAAGGATTGTAAATGAATGTTATTAGAGTCGGGAAAGAAGAGTCATTTACTAGGGGACCTTTTAACTAACATGACAAGCGCTTTTGTTGCTGCTTGTAGATGTCCGTCGATGGGATTGCTTACAAACTGACCGAGATGTTTAGTTGGATATTGAGTGCCAGGACACGTGGTGTAGTGATAGGGCAGGCGCCCTAAATATCTCTTGTACACAGTAAGACGGAACCGTCTTCCAAAGGAGTACCTAAGTTCGCTTAAAGATTCTGTCCATATTCATAAGGACTATAAGAGGGCTTGGCAGCCAGCCAAGTGTCTTGCATCATCATCTATATCCCGAGCATTTTTTTGGACAAAGTGTTAAACTGCGAGTGCTTCTAGTAATTTGTAGTTCTAAAAATAATCGAAGACAACAAAGATCTTTTATTTTGAATTTGTTGTCCAGTTTTGTTTTGGTTCTTTATTTCGAGGGTTTTAGGGTTTCTTTCTATTCTTGGTTTCTCAGATCCATGTAAGTAATAAGGATCGGACATCGAGTCTTGATTGTTGGCATTGTTGTTTTAGGGTTTCTTTCTAGTATTGGTTGCTCAGATGCCACTCCCCGGAGGGTGGTGAGGAAGAGTTTGCACATGGTAGCGTCAGATGCCCCCACGAAAGGCATCAAAATCTGGAAGGCACTGAGGTGATCCTCTGGTCGGAAGTGCAGTAATATTCTGGAAGGTGGTGAGGCATTTGGAAGTTCGGGGGTTGGGCTGGTCCAGGATTAATTGAACGGGCCAAAGGCTTTCCGTGCCAAGGGCCAGCAATGAAACTGGGAGTCAAGTGGGCCTCAAGGTATGAAAGATTCCCTGGTTGTGGAGGTGGAGGGCGGATTGACGTCCCATTGGGGTAGGCTGACCCTCCGGTGGTCTCTGGTTAGTGGCTAGAGCTTGCATGCAACCCATTGGGTGGAGGAGGTGCTGCTGTCAATGCTTGGACTTGGGCTTTCAACTGCTCAACTTGGACTTGAAGTTCTTCGATAGGCGGTGGAGGAGCTGGCTCTTTGTCCCGAACTCCGCCGCCGGTTTGGGGGTGTAGGGAGCTTTGAGACTCCATCCTGAGTGATGTAGTGGCGCTAGGTTTTCTTCAACCTTTTGCTCCGGGGCCCCACGGTGGGTGCCAATTGTTGATGTCGGGGTTGTAGCCGACATTGAATTTTATGTTGGGCACCGAAGTCGGTCGACGACCACCTTTCACCTCAAACTTCACTTGTGATGTCAGCTCCGGTCGTCTCCTGCAAAAAAGGTCCGCCGGCCGATCTCGGCGGGGACACTCTCCGATGCTCAAGTTAGTGAGTGGGTTGAGTGGAGAGGAATATGACCTCGAAAAGAAAGATTAAGTAATGGAGTTGAGAATGAATTTCTACGTTAATCATAGCGCGAGTTCACGAGTCTAGACATGGGATTTTTTGCTGACCTCAATCTGGAGACAAAGTGGCCTTTTATAGAGGCCCCCAGGCGAACATGAAAGGAGTACGTGTCTCCTTTAGGAGCTTGGTGGTGTGGTGGGAGGACACGTTGCAGGGGTACGTGGCTAAATGTCAAGATGACCTGGGGTGGGCGGAGAGCCCAAGGTAGTCGAGGTGACTCGGGGTAGTTGACCGCGGGGGTGACCCAAGGTAATTAACCCCAGGGTGGCCGGAGTGACTCCAAGGTGACCCAGGGTGATTGACCCCGGGTGGCCAGAGTGACCCCGGGGTGGGCTAGGTGACCCACGGTATTTGACCTCGGGGTGGCCGAAGTGACCCCAAGTTGACCCAAGGTATTTGACCCCGGGTGGCCGAAATGCCCCAAGGTGAACCAAGGTATTTGACCCCGGGGTGGCCATAGTGACCCCAAGGTGAACCAAGGTGTTTGACCCCGGATGGCAGGAGTGACCCAAGATGATCCAAGGTATTTGAACCCGGGGTGGCCGGAGTGACCCCAAGGCCACCCAAGGTATTTGACTTCGGGGGTGGCCGGAGTGACCCCAAGGTGACCCAAGGTATTTGACCACGGGTGGCCAGAGTGACCCCGAGGTGAGGTTGTTCCCGTCTAATAAAATAATATTTTCTTAGGGTCCACCAAAATCAATTTGGACCGCCCAATGGGCGAGTAAAAAACTAGTATATATGGTGAATTTTACGGTGTACAGGGCAAAAACTGGGACATGTTGTACCTTGGGCGATCCTCACCATTCTTTTCATTTTGACAGTCCTCGTTAGGTTTCGGTAATCTTTAACAAATAATTAATGAAATTACAAAAAGCCTCCTTAAGTAGGAAGACATTTTCATTCTCGTCCAACCAAACTGCAAACGATTAAATAGTATTGATTAAGGGTTCAGAACCCCCTTTTGGGTAAACCCACTGCAGCCCTAACCAAATTTCTGGTCTCCCTTCCATGATCCCTCGTTATTTTTTCGAGGGGGCGTCGCTTCCCAGTTCGATGATAAGCTCCCAATCCCCATTCACTCTGAAATCAACAATATAATCATCGTTTTGAACCCGAAATCCTTATACCCACAATCGACCTTAATTTGGAGTTTCCCATGCATGGTTTTCGTCTTGTTTGTTCTTATCTATTTTATATCACTCAACAATGTATTTGGCCTTTTTCAAATCGAAAGATATGATATACTCGCCTATCTCTTTGTAACATAATTATGGCGACCATGTGTAATTGTGTGTTCATCACAATTTTCATTTTAGTCTTATACATTTTTAGATTTTTCGACTCTTTAAGTATCGTTGTTTTCTCAAAGAAAAATCACTCAACTAAAATTTCCAGGTGGAATGTAGAGTAGTGACTTAAATATATTCATCTGAACCATTTTTCCACACAATCTTACCATAAAATAATAATAATTCAAATATCTAAAATCCAAAAAGTTATATCTGCTATACTAATTCCAGATTTAAAGGAGAACCGACTCTATTTCACTTTGGTGTAAATTTACATGATTCAAAATCTCAAACAACAAGTCGTATTTACACCATAAATCCTACCCACGAAGTGCATTCATTCTATATCCCCTCTCCAAACCTCAAAAAGATTTTGAGAAAGTTTCCAAACAAGTATTAATAAATACTCGCGGTGGATAGAAGAGGGACTCGTCAGTTTTGTACACAAACAAACCAAGATCCTTACCATTGAGATCATTGAGATAGATCCAAATGATTAGTAAAAAAAAAAAAAATCCAAGTAGAAAATTATTGTGTTTTTGTTTACACAAAAAAAATAACCTTATACCACATCGGTTAAAAACCAGGAATTAAGTGGCTTTATAAAGCCAACTTAACCATATTAGTTTAAATCAGTTGAGTGGGCCATAGAGATTGGGTTTTTTGGGCCCATTATTCCGTGCCACCACGCCCGCCATGTAACTCCAAATTTGGCTAAGTATGAGAGCCACCCCCATGACACCCTGGGGGTGGGCATCATACTGCCACCCCCAGGAGGTACGTGGTAAGGGGGGCGGGCATCATAACATACTGACACCCCCAGGAGGTGCATGGTAAGGGGTGGCCGAATTTGGCTAAGGCAAGGAGTATGGTAACCACCCCCAGAAGGTACAAAGGGGGGTGGCCACCATCATACCACCCCCAGAAGGTACCAAGGGGGTGGGTACCATATAGTCACCCCCATGACGTGGTAAGGGGGTGACTCAGGACGTAGTGAGGGGGTCATACTACCAACCCCCAGGGTGATCACCAAGGATGGCAAGGAGAACCTCCCATGAGATGATCAGGGGATGGCCATCAACACAACCCGTCATGAGCATGCAATCCCTATGATATGATCAGGGTGGTGATTGATATCCACCCCCTGTGGTATGGTCAGGGGGTCACCAACGTACACACCCATGGTATGGCCAAGGGGCGTGGTCAACATCGCCCCCATGAGGTTGCCAGGGGGGCTACCAAGGCATCACCCTCATGAGATGGTCAAGGGGAGTCAGTTGGGCACGTGGTCTCCCTACTCCCGTAATGGTGAAGTGTTTAAATCATTTTTGACTCAAGTGATTCGAGTACCCACCCATATGTGGCAGTGGTATGCTCTCATGCCTTAGTCATTTTTTCTCTATAGACAAGCAAAGCTACAAAGGAGATACCAAGAGCATGGAGTGAGGTCTCAAGAGGAGAGGCCAAGATTGCTCTACATACAAAGTCAAGGTAACTGTCGAAGCAGTTGAGAGGGTAACCGCCACTCCACGTCAGCAGAGTAGTTTCTCGAAGCAGTTACTTCTTATGGCTATAAATAGGAGGTGAAGATGACAGAGAAAGGGTTCACAAAAATCACAACTCGACACCACTTGTCAAGTTTTATCTTTTTATCTTTTCCTCTGCATTTTAGCCATAGTCGTAGTTTTTGGAGCTCTCACTGAACCTCCATAGGAGTAGGGCTAATTTAAGGTAGATTTGCCTCGTAGTTCATCAAAACATTGAACACCCTTGTTTGAACTTTGTTCAAAGAGGTGTGGACCGTGTTTGTTAATCGTTTGTTTGGAAGTCAAAGGTGCAAATCCAATTCTGTTCATCTTTATTTTTCTCGCCGGGAAAACAAATTGGCACACCTAGTGGGACGCGTGTGTTCGATTTGATGGCTCCGAGGCGGAGGAATCAGGAAGGTGACGCCCCGGATGGTTTTGTGGAGGAGCAAGTGGCCAACATTGAACATGGCCAAGTGTCAGAGGCGGTGGCCGGAAACAATGGTGGGGCGGAGATCCTACCAACGGCGACGCCTAGTGGAGATATTGGTGAAGTAGTGGGGGTTTTTCGTCAAATGATGGAGGAGAACCGCAAACTGGTGGCAGAGAACCGTCAAGCCACAGAGGAGAACCGCCAAATGATGGTGGAGAACCGTCGCATGATGGAGGAGGCTAGAGCTGCTTCTCATCAGGTAAATTCTCAAATGGACTGTCTTAATTCTACAGTTGATAGACGTCTAAGTCAATTATTTGAAGTGGTTAATAAGAATAAAAGTGATTTTGATGAGTTCAGAAGGTTTTTAACCACACCAATAAGCCAATCTAGAGCGCTGCCATTAGGTGGCGGGAATCCAAATCCCATTAACAATGCTGTAAATTCTAGTTCATCTCCCGTCGGCGGTGGAAATGGTCAGCCACGGCAAGATAACCTCTTTCCGCCGATGACAAACCAACCAACTCCTCACCGCATGAATCGCGGCGAGATTCCTGCCACTTCTCAAGTGGAAGGGATACCCAATGTGGGAGTTGGAGAAATTCCCCCACGTGGTGAGAATTTGGGAGTTACACATTCTACTCCAGTGGAACCGCCACCCATACCCATACCAGTGGCAAGGCCCTATACGGTGCCTGCTCACATGGGAGGGGGAGTAGGCTTAGGTGGGGGAGATCAAGTTCCTCCCAGAGCATACCCAACACCCATGCCACCCCATTTCAATGGGCATGGCATGGACCCCATGGGTTTCGTACCCCAAGGGGGGCAACCAGGGGAGCATGATCCCAACACTCTAAGGGATCAGGTGGCTCAACTTCTTGCCGAGCAATTTGGCATGGGAGTGAGACCCACCATGCCACCTGTTTATCGAAAACCATACCCTGAGTGGGTGGATAGACTCTACCCATTCCCAAGGGGGTTTAGAGTGCCTGAGTTTGCCACATTCACTGGGACAGGGGACCAGTCTACTGTGGAGCACATTGGACGTTTTAGTGTCCAGTGTGGGGATGTAGGAGATTTTATTAAGTTAAGAGTATTTGGAAACTCATTAACAGGACCTGCCTTTGCCTGGTATGTCAACTTGCCATCGAACTCCATCCAAACATGGCAGCAGATGGAGCAAATCTTCCATGCTCAGTTCTATAGATCTGAGCGTGAGGTTTCCATGGCTGATTTGGCGCGCATGCGCCAAGAGCCAGGGGAGTCGGTGGAGCATTTCTTGACAAACTTCAAGAATGCTCGTAACCGTTGTTTTGTCAACTTGACAGAGAGAGAGTTTGTCAAGTTAGCACAAGGGGGGTTGAGTTTTGAGTTAAGGAAGAAATTCCAAGACAGAGAATTCTCTGACTTGTTCCAACTCATGTCTTGTGCGGTGAGATATGAATCTCTCTTCAAGAAGAGGAGAATAGGAGGAGTGCCTCAAGGGGGCAATACTTCCCCAACCTCGGCTACCCTGTTAACCATATTGGCCAAGAGGCCAATGAGGTAGAGGTAGACCTGGCTGAGTTAACTCCAGGGAAGCCATATGTATGTGCTCCTTTGGCTAAGATGGACAATGAACCACAAGGGGGTAGACCAAATCGTGCCCCTACCCAGCCACGGAGGTATTCCTTCAATATCTCCAAAGCTGACTTGATTTTTGACCAACTTTACAAGGATGGTCAAATCAAGTTGACAGGGGGGCATAACATCCCACCACCCGAAAAATTAAAAGGAAAGAAGTATTGTAAGT